GTGTGGTAAATAATATATAATAGTTTTTTCAAACAGAAGTTATAGTCTAGTTTTATACTTAAATAATTATTATGAACAATTAAATAAATAATATAAATATTATTAAAAAATTATATGTGTATCTGTAATAAAGCGCATTCTGATAAACTTACTTGATAATACTGCGACAACGACGAGAAGGCAGAAAACAGTGCGAGACATGTTTCAATATCACTCTGTTGCGGATTTACTACATACATACCGGGAAGATGACAAATCCAGCTTTTATATTCTTTTTGCTCTGATTCTTTTATCGTTTATGTTTTACGATAAGAAAATTTGATGAAAAGGTAACGCGTCTTTTACAATAAAAGAGGAAAACTTAAAACAATTTTCGTTATTACAATCTGTTTCTCCCAACTGTCGCACTATATTTTTGTTTTGTACACAAGACACTTAGTAGGTATATTCAGATCTTTTGGTTAGTCGATACCAATCATTTGAATATTACGTTAAGATTTCCTTGCCAGATAATCAGTGGAAAGAGTATGTTTCATATTGTGCGCCTTATTCCCATCCCATGGAGAATTAATTAAAGTTATGCAATGTGGAATCACATACACACACATACACGGATTTCTTCTCAAAGTGTACTTGAATGTTTTTATGCGTAAGATCTGGTATGTTAAAAAATATCTTGGAAAACAATATTTAAGATGGATTATTATCTTCTAACTGAATTAAAATTTATTTTATTAATAGAGTGATATACCTATTTATTACTACAATAATAACTATATATAAAAATTAGTGCTTATATTTCACCATAACATTATTTTATTATGTATATTCTGGCATTATAAGTTATATATATACATATCTTCTCTGAATATATTCCATCACATTGTGTATACATTTTACTAACAATGAAATAGGCATTCCTAAAAAGAGCAGGTCTGTTTCTTTTTTCTCTTTTTCTCTTTCAAATTAGTACTACTTAAATATAGATACAATAAAGAAGCTTAAAAAGTATTTCGCAGAGTTTATTTCAGTTGTCATCTCAATCAAACAGTCGATAACTTTTTCGCAAAGAATTAATCACGATATAATCAAGATATAAGTAAAATTAAATGTTGATACATTCAAAAGAATATTGCTGTGTACAATTTTAACACGATATAAGCTAAATTTCAAGATGAGTACATAAGATGTATAAATGTATAAATTATAACATTAATATATAGGGGAAAGTAGGGTAAAACCGGGTACCTTTTTGGATTTGTCTTCCTACAAAAAATCTGAGAGTAAAAAAAGTTTTGCCGACCGTTAGTAGTCTTTAGTGAACCTTAAATTATGAGAAAATAAGGGTAGTCGCTGAAAAAAAAATTTTTGGTTATCAAGAATAGCAAGATTTTGTGGAGAAGTCAAAGTACCCGGTTTTGTCCTATCGGTAGGTCAAACCAGGTACCCATTTGAAAATATGCAAAACACCGTGTAATTACAAAATCTAGATTTATTTTAATTAAAATACAATATAAAGATGTATTCTATTGACACAAATCACAAATAAAGATATCTTCTTGTTCGACATTGCTGGAGGACTTTCTTATTTAACTTTTTAACTTTAGGGATCTCAAAAAGCTTTTTTTTAGTGGTTTCTTTTTCCGAGCGTTAGTTTTCGTTTTCAACTGCTTTTTGTAGGGATACAAAGTCAAAATAACAGTTCTTCCTCTTTTCATTATATGAGATATGTAAGTACCCGGTTTTACTCCAACACAAGGAAAGTAACAAATACGTCAGTTGTATATTCCTGCGTACAAAGTGCCGATCAAAACTAATATGATATACTCTCTAATATGTACAGAATGCAATGCTGCACTTACCGAAACAGATGCTCTATATAGAAAAAGTGCACGACGACTCGATTCTTGCCTCGATATCGATCTTT